ATACTAGGGGGGGGGGAGCCAGCCTGCAGGGAGAAGGTTGGAATCTCGGCTTTTTAATGGTGTGAGGGGTAAAAGACGGGGGTTTAGTGGTATGATGGGGGTTTTAATGATGTGAGGGGGGTGAATGATGGTGCTTTTCAGGGGGGTTAATGATGGGGTTTTAAATGGTGTAAGGGGGTAAATGATGGGGGGGTTCGAGGGGTAAATGATGGTGTTTTGAGGGGGTGAATGATTTTTTTTTTTAATGGTGTGAGGGGGTGAATGATGTGTTTTTTCAATGGTATGAAGGAAGTGAATGAGTTTTATTAAGTGTTGAACATTTTTAAAACTGATGAGGGAGTTACCTGGAGTCACTTCCGGAGGTCAGCGCCCCTGCGGCCTGGTCCTAGACCAGGCCTCCTGATTACTGGCCTGATCGATCAAGCTGTTAGTGCCTGCCGCCTGTCGTCCATCATATGATCAGGAGCTGATTTGAGAAACATGTTGAGTTCCCTCTTCAGTGGAGGAGGTACGAGAGGTGAAGGATTTTGATGGTGTGGAGTGAACGGGGAGCTGTTTAATGGGGATGTGAGAAGTGAATGGGGGGCTTTTTAATTAATAATGGCTAGTGAATGTGTGAGATTGACGCATACTTTTTGCGCAAGACTAGTTTTGGATTTAAGAATTTGGTCCATTACGGCCCCTCCTCTCACCTCCGCTTTCCGGAGTCAGAGAGGTAGTAAGCGAGGTTCATTATCTCTCAGAGTTATGGAAGTTTGCTAATAATAACATTGACTGTCCTGTATTATACACCAATTTTTTTTTACGTTTTCTTTGCATATATTTACATTGAACTGCATTATTATGTATTTTTAATGAAAAGAGTATACTCCTGTGTTACCACGTCATGTATATTCATGTGTGTGTGTATGTATATATATGTATATGTATATATAGTCTCCTGGTTCTTCGTATCCTCTCATGTCTTCTGACGCGTACATCCTTCTTGTGTCTAGTGACGGTGTATCCTTCCCGTGTCTGACGATACTTTTCTTCTCACGTATCTCTTGACACTATCATTCTCATTTGTCTCTTAACTTTGTTTTATAACAAAAAAAAATATCGAAGCAGGATGCACATGGGAATATTTCTAAATTGCACGGAAAAATTTACGGGAAAAAGGATTAAGATTTTCGGTAAGCGTCATTTACTGGTTTACGAAGATATTTTCCTGGGCAGGTGTAGACATGAAGGATCACTTGTACCTTGGTAGTTACATGTGACCAGTTTCGAGAGTTATTCAACCTTCCCAGCACGGCCTTAGGACAGACTGCCTTTTTGACCGCCTGATCAGCCTACCATCAACTTCTTGAAATACACGAACCTCGGTATTGTGTAGAAAATAATTATTGCAGGGGTTCATTATGAAACACTAGTTTAGTAAAAGTAACAAGAAGTGTAGCTAAAGAAGAGAATAAGAGAAACACAATGATTAAGGATAGACAAGTGAAAGTCCTAAGTATCTTTTAGACATTCGCGGAGAAGACTATGCCGAGGAAATAGCGTAGACTCTTGTTGGTTTATTTTAATCAGCGGGAGGCGCTAAGCCACAGTAATGCTGAGATATATGTTGGAAAAGATAAAAGTTGTAGAACAGGGTTCTTTGACTGACAGTTTCGCTTTGTCAACAACGAAAAGTTGCCCTAATAAGTTTACTTTGCATTTTTTTTTTGTCTTAAAGACTATGCCCCTGGGTTAGGTTTTGTTAGGTTAGGTTCGGTTTAGTTAGGTTAGGTTAGGTTCGGTTTAGTTAGGTTAGGTTAGGTTTAGTTAGGTTAGGTTAGGTAACAATAAGTTAGGTTTGGCTGTAATATTTAAAAAGGGCCCTTTGTTATTTTTATGTATTTATTCCAATATGTACAAATTAAAATAACCTCCATGAACTAATTAGTCGGTATTATATCAGGCCTCCCATTGTTGGCCTGATCAACCAGGCTGTTGGTGTCAGGAGGACATGCATTTGATGAAGAGGATCCCAGAAGGGGATCGAAATAGGTGGCCCGTGACCTGGTAGGCATAAAGCTCTTGCTTCACACGCTGAGGGTCTGTGGTTCGATTTCCGGCAAGGGTGGAAACATCGTGCATGTTTCCTTACACCTGCTCTGTCTGTTTACCCATCAGTAAAATGGGTACCTGGGTGTTAGTTGACTGGTGTGAGTCGCATCCTGGGACAAAATTGACCTAATTTGCTCGAAATGCTCAGCATAACAAGGGGCTTTCTATATAGTAGTGAGTCATTGATGTCAGCTAGGCCTGTATACCTTGTACATGTACTTGTAGAAATAAAAATATTATTATTATTATTATTATTATTATTATTATTATTATTATTATATACAGGCCAAATAATCTCTGAGTTTGTCTCCATGTGGGTTATTATTAAGCACTGACAAGTGTTCATTACACTTAAGTTATCCATATGGTTCAGATTTGGACGGAGAAATGGTCAGGGTAGACATGTAAGGGAATGCCAGGTATCAACTCAATGCTGATACACTTGGAAAATCTGATCGCGTAAGGTATCCGGGAGTGACGATTAGTGAAGATCTGAAACCAAGGCAGCACAGTATTAATGTGCTACGCTAACTGGAGATTAATTTTGTCATCAGTCTTTGTTCACCCTGTATAGCATAGTGACCAAAACTGTGAAGCATAATCTTAGTGAAATGTCGTAAGTGTCAGAAGGCAGTGGGAAGATAAATTGTATGGATAACATTAATATGTATAAAAGAAACGAAGTACTGTACCATATTAAACTTTACCTGCCTAGCATGGGCCAGTAGGCCTGCGGCAGTGCTCCTTCCTTCTTATCTTCTTATTTCTGACACACAAAACGCTCTCTACCAATGTGTTTTCTACAGCGCCATTTTTTGTTGATATTATTGATGGTTTACACACTGATCTAATTAGTTTTTTTATATTGTAATGTCAAGTATTTAATTTTGTACAGTGACTGAAAGTTTAAATCGGCACTAAAATACAGAGGATTCAAGGGAGTTTTGGAACATCATTAAAATGTGCGCAAATTATTTTGGAAGTATGCAAAGAATAATGATCAGGCTACTCCCGAGCATTAGAAAGCTTTATTAAGGACAGCTAAGAAAGCTACAGTTACTTTTTCTTGAGACGTAAAGAGGCGACATGATAGAACTATATAAATGCACGAGAGATTTGTAATAAAAATTATAGAAATTGAATTGTGATCATGTCATCTCAAGAAAATTCGAAATGCTGGATTCAGATTGGAAATGTTAGCATTTTGAAGCGAAATAGATATATTATGGTTCGAAAATACGGTTGCAGATGTATGATTATCAGGTAGCATCACTGACGGAGACATACGGGCCTGCTGCTCATATTTTGGTAGTAAATAGGTTCCTATGGGTTAGGAGACTTGTGTTTGACATCCTAGAGAAGAGGAACACAGGAGCCCCCTGTCCCTCCCCATTGGAAATGAGGCACACTGCTTGCCTCTTCTTTAGATTATCCTGGGCTAATAATCCTCCGAAGTGAATAATCCGATGTAAGTCGCATTTTAAACACTGGAATCTTTGAAGAATAGGTTGGACAAATACCAGTCCATTCTTATACACAACTCGTTTTCGAACATATTTACGTAAGCCTATTCTTGAACGCTATACGCCACTACACATTCCCTACCTCAGGTTCATTAAAGTTATTTTAACTTGAGTTATTTTAACGTCAGTTAACCAGAATATACGTATATTTAACTTCCAATATAACGGCGACAGGGTAAACACATGCAATACACTGGCGTTGCCTAATTCGTTGGAAACAACACGCTTGTTATATACCGTGACGGGCTGCAAATACATGTGTTGTTGGTTGGGTATAAATAGCAGTCTGGCGAGGGTCAGTAGGTCTTTGGTCGAATTTGTTAGGTTTAAAGCCTATAGATAAAATATAAACATTATCAAAAATATTCTAACGTTTATTTTTTCGGATTACTTAAAAATTCGCCTCATCCCCTTCCAGCAGTGAAATTTAATAAGCAAGTTTTTAATATATTAATTATTTTATTCACACTAAAACTAATATAACAACAGCCCTATGTAAATTTTAGCAAAGTTAGGTATTATAAAATAACTGAATTTACCAAGCCTATCTAAGAATCTGATTAACAATATTTCATTGTTTTCCATGGTGGGAGGGAAGAGTCTTCAGGTGATTGTCTTTCTTACCAACATAAATGAGACACAAAATGGTTATATGATGGATGTCACGTGCAGGCATGTCACAGACGTGTACAGATGGATGTAAAAACACAAAGGAATATAATTAATATGGTTAAAGTATGAAATCAGGTTAGAACATGTAACAGTGAATTCAAACTGGACAAGGGAAGTAGGTAAGGAGTGGTTGAGCTTTACAGTTAAGTGGAAGACATTGGCAAGTAGTAACTTTGAAGCTGCAGTGGGAGGCTTTAAAGATAGGCTAGGCACATTAGCGAAAATAATTGTGTGTAGTAGGAACTGCCTTGAAGTGTCTCCCGTAATATATTTTTGCCCTGTCTCATAACGTTTATCTTCTCCATGTCTCCCGATGCTGTTTGTTCTTTCGCTGTGTTCATACATTTTCCTCCCTTAATAGTGGTTTACTACACACTCTTCTCTCTATAATGTACATGTATTGTACAGTACTCACGTGTACCATACTGTAACTCGTCCTGCCGTATACACAAGCATATAAGTAGAGAAGCATCGTAATAATAGTTAAGAATGTAAATAAAGAGGAGCATCCTACTCTTACTCTATTCCCACTCGTGTATTTATTGAACTTATTTTAGTAATCTATCCATAGTATACACTTCAGTGACGACATTGTTATCAGATTATCACTCCATGCTGCCTTAGCTTAATTGTTTGTAGTGTGATTTTTCTTTTACACTGTGTAAGTACTGTACTTTTGCACTAGTATCCTAACACTGTTTCTCCCGGCAGGCACCCGCTGTTCCCTCTGCTGGCGCTGATCTTCGAGAAGTGTGAGTTGGCGACCTGCACTCCTCGAGAACCTGGCGTGGCGGGAGGTGATGTGTGTTCCTCAGAGTCCTTCAACGAGGACATCGCAGTCTTCTCCAAGCAGGTGTGACCTCGCCCTTCACGCCTCACCTCGCCCTCACATCTCTCCTAGGCCCATGGACCTAGCATAACGGCGAGTGCCCTTGCGGTCCATGGGCGGTGTGGGCGTGTAAGAGGTCCTGATATGTGACCTAACACAGCAGCGACAGAAATTTATCTTTTCGTCTTGTAATTTTTTTAGAGTGGCTGGTTCTATAACAAGTGTGAAATATTTTAAAAATGAGGAATTGTCCATGCCTCAGCCGGTTTTGAAAAATTATTTTTTATAAAAGTATAAAAGTGATTGTTGGATATAAATTTCTTCAAGAAAACAGTGTTCATTGTGAAGAAGTTGCATTAAAGTTGATGAGAAACTGATGTGTGCGTTGTGTAATCATCAAGAAACTACACGAGGTGAATAAAGGGCAAACGAACAAGGAGTAGCCTGTGTGTAGCGTGAGTTTAAGTGCCGGTTCTACTGCACCAGCTCGCCTACAACACCTCTAGCATAACGCCATCAGCACCAACAACAGCCAGACTACCAGATGGATGATGCCGGATAAGTACCCCTCGATAACCGGATTACTTTTCCTCTTTAAGCGGCCGACTCTTGTGTGTGTGTGTGAAGGGTGGTGTGGGGATGGGGGGATTGCTGTTGGACAGTTTCATTGGTGACAGAGTCGTGGCCGGGCTTAACAGATTACACAGATTAGGTCTTGGCTGGTTGCAACTTCACTGAGATTGGGACGAAACATTGAACTGATCAGGCGCTCCGATTTCTTTTATGCAAGCCAATTTGAAATAAGTTTTATATATGGATGTTTTAATATTTAGCGTTCTTAAACGCGTTAATTTCTCATTACCAGTGTGAGTTATAATCAGGGTGTAATCTCAAGTATGTTCCAGGAAAATGTTGTATCCCATCAACCGATGACATTGTATTAAAAATACAATACTAAACGCGTGTGGGATCATTCCGCGCAGGGAGTGGTGAATACTCGATCCTCCATCCGTGTGGGGTCATTCCACGAAAAGTATAGTGATTCTTGATCCTCTATCCGTGTAGTTTATTCAGAGCAAGAAATGGTGGAGGCTGGATGTTCCTTTCGTTAATCGACAGACACGCCACGAGATGACACATTTTGGTACACTCGGGAAATTATTTTTGAAAGGCATTGCGAAATAAGCATAGGAGTAATGTAAAACCTACTTCAAAAACATGTAAGAATAGCGAAAAACTGCATTAGGCTAGGTAACCTCTGCTAGGCAAACCTACTCACCCAGTCATACCTACTCATATATATATATATATTTACCTAACTTATTTTCACACCAGTGCTTTCCTATATCCTTTCTAAATCAGATACAGAAAAGATATCTTGAAAGCATTTCAAGTAGAATATATTATTGTTATTATTAAAGCTGGAAGCGCTAACCTTGTAGAGGTCTGTAATGTCTCGGTAATGGAAGGTAATCGGGTTTGAGCCAAAGACGGGGGAAGGATAGGTTCAGTTCTTTGGGTCAAGGAATTAACACTGCCCTCCCTTCCTTGAAGGAGCTAAATTAAGTTGATAGAGAAGAAATGGTGCCTTTATTCCAATAAATCAAATATTATTTATTGCCAACTGTTCTGGTAATATATTTCCTAAAGCACCGAACACAAGGGTGTTATTCAGCCCAAGTAGGAGTGGAATTTTGATCCTCCGTACGCTAATCTCGGCCCTGTCTTTGACCAATCAGGCTGTTAGTGATGAGGTCACTATTCTAGCTAGTGACGCGGAGTTGACGGATAATGAGTTGCATCTCAGCTTCGACACCCAGAGAGCTGGATCTTCCATTCTCTGGTCATGGATTATTATTAGCATCATTAAGGCTACTATATATATATATATATATATATATATATATATATATATATATATATATATATATATATATATATATATATATATATATATATATATATATATATATATATATATATAAAAGGGGGCAAGCGCTAAACCCGTATGGGTGATGCAGCCCATGTGAGGGAGGGGGACCTAACTTCCCCCTTGCGGAAAGTTCCTTGATGCAAGAATTTGGTACCCTTCCCTTCCTTGGATCGAACCAGATTGCCTTCCATTCTCCCTGGCACTGTGACCCCTGTGGGTTTAGCACTTCCCTCTACGTATAATGATAATAGTAAGGATAATGCTTTACATCTGTCAGCATACAGATAATGTAGATACACGAGTACAATAAAGACTTATTATGTAATGCATTTAGGAGAGCTGACCATAAGGTTTAAAAAGCACATAATTAGGCATAGCATTATGTAGATCTTATTGTGTAGTTAAATGCAATCATACGTTAAATAAGACAGGGAGCTAATGACAAAGTGGTGGATTACAAAACATTTGCGTATATAAACAAGTTCAGTGATCTTCAGTTTTATGTCGTGATTGAATAGATACTGAAATTGCAGCAAGTTAAATTACAATACAGATATAATGGGACAATATATATGTAACCAATTATATGTGGGATTTGAAGGAAGGCGTGAAGAACAGGGTCATAAGTGGGTGAAGTTAGGTGTTGTTTGACTGGGGAATTGCTGTCTGGATTGCATCAAGGAGATGGGATGCTTTTTAACATCTTTGAAGCGATTGGCAGATAGTGGACATTTAGAGACTTCAGCCAGGGAGTTCTAGATTTTATGGCCTCTTATGTGCAGTGAGTTTTTGTACAGATTGAATCGAATTCGGGGGAGGGATATCGAAGATGTTTTTGTCTTGTGTTATGTCTGTAAGTTCTGTTGCAGCTTGAAGGAAGAGTTTCAGAGGGTTTATATTGGAAGTGATTTTCCTATATAAATAGCACAGTAGTATGAGTACATGCACAATTGGTACATTGAGCAAGTTTAAACTTGGAGCATGTTGTCTGGCACTGGATTGAGTAATCATTCATGCAGTGACTTTTTGTTGAGTTACATAAGAACATAATGGAGCACTTCAGCAGGCCTACTGGCCCATTGGTTTTAGGTGGTTCGATGTAGCAGATCCCCAGGCACAAATGCCATAGGTGAGGTAGGGATAGTTTAGTGAGTGGTGCATAGTAAGGTATGTTGGAGACGATGCCTACGGTAATATTAATAATAATAATGGTGAGGGAAATGTGCTCATTTATGCACTGTCACAACTACTCTTCCAGGGGAGATGACTAGATCAAGGAATTTAAAGTGCATTCCCCTTTCTCAGATAAAGCCTGATTGCCGCCCTTACAGGTTTAGTTCTCTGTGAACATAATAATTTGCCACTGCTTTTTTTTTTGAGGAATGTGCTTTTGTGGTTACGGGTGTTGCATGTCGGCTTGTAGCCTTACCTTTCAGTTGCGACTGATGACCCTATTCCTGTGGTGGTAACCAGGTTTGAAAGTTTTGATGTGGCTTATATTACCTAACAACAACAAATTCTTAAGACTTCCAGCAATATTTCAATGTTGTTTTATTTTATTTAAGAGTAGGTTAAATATATAAAACATACATTTCACTACAAATAAGAAATATAACTACCATATGTCTGACAGAGGCGTCTGAATAAAACCAGTAAATTATTAAAAGTTCATTTAATCTTATCACATCTCCCTTCTCTTATCAGTCTTTCATCATAATTTATATTTTAGCTCTGGGAACCATTTTGTAACTCTTTTATAAGACTTCCTATCAAAATCAGCCAGTAATTTAAAGGCTCTTTCCTGTCACTTTTATAAATAGAATATTGGCACAGTGTGTGCCATCTTAGTTTGTCTGACAATTTACCATCTCTTAGCACACAACCCCCCCACCCCTCCCTCACCACATTCCTTAGGGCACACCTTGATCATGAAAAATTGGCTGGTAGAAGATTAAAAAGCAAGTAACCAATTAATTCTATTAATATTTCCTAATGTTTCTTCTCGGAGATATGTGGGATAGGGAGCCGAGTTGGTTATGCCCTTGTTGACATGAATATTATTTTAAGGCAGTTTTTCCAAGTTAAGATGCTTGTGTTATCACTGTGGTTTTCATCATATATTTTTCACGCATATGCTTGCCCAAGTAGACAACATTGTTAACACGAATTTAGCACTCTTACATTCAGAACACACATGGATTGACCTGACCTTGGTTTTCTTGTCACCTGACCTATCATCTTGTTCTTCTCACCTTCACTTAAAGTCTTGTGGTGACAATGGATGGACCAGGATAGACAGAAGTATTTGGTCTCCAGATTGTGGGTTTTATGGACATACTAGAAACCTACCAATCCATCAAGAAATTCCCATTACTGTATCACTGATAAATTCATTTGATAAAGTAACAACCGAGAAAAGGCACGGGAAATAAAAAGTAAATCTGAACACCTCAAAAAAAAAAATTAATATAAAAATGGGGATTATTCAGAGCCTTAGAAAATACCATGAGCTGTTCTTTAGGCAGACTCCTCTGAAGGTGTATGGTTAATTGTTATATTTCCCTTTTATTGGCTAGATATCAGAACTGCCGGCCTCTTTATCATGCCTGACTTTCGGATAATGGTTGTAAGCAGAGGTGGATCTACTGTGAAACTAATGGAACTTAAACTTCAGGGCCCCTAATCCCGGAGGGGCTCCGGAAGCGACTTTAGTGCACATTGCTTAAAAATTTTAGGTCTATGGTATGAGTTTTTTAAATAATAATATTAATGAACTAGTGTAATTAAATTCAAAATAATAGTTAAAATAAAAATTAAAAGGTTATTAAAGTATCATTTAAGCTAGTTGTTGCTGGTTGCGAAGGGACTCTAATAACAGGTCAAGCTTCAGGGGCTCCAAAAATGTAGGCCCGCCACTGATTGTAAGGATAAAAGCACACTTCTTGTACCGACATTGATATATTGCACCACAAGTGAGTGGATTCCAGGGATCCACATTTGATTACTTTTGAGTTGCTTGATAATTTCAGCCAGTGTTTTGTGCGAGTGCATATAAATGTACTGGTCACAATGTTTCTACCTAGCAGGGAGA